CCCCCCCCCCCAGCCCCCCCCTGGGGCTGACTTGGGAGATTACTGGGGAATACCGGGGAAAGACTGGGAGAGGAGGGAGAAAAGAGACGTGGGGGGGGGGACCTGGAAAAATATAAGTTACATTAATTGAGGTCCTCCCCCCCCCGAAAATAAGCAATGAAATTGTAACTTACAAAGGCTGGACATCTGATTTCAGAGCACCAAAGCAGGAACATAAGATGGATTGCGTGTATGTAACATACAATAAATGTAACTTGCATGCATTTGTTGCAGAAATGCATTGCCACTTGCCACCACAGCATTTGGGCTTTGTTAGCGTGTGATCCTGACTCGCAAAGATGTTGGCGTGGCTCATGTTTTGGTGTCTCCCCGCCCTCAGCTGGGGTGCTGGAGGGGGGGATGACACATTCACGGTCACACCAGAGACTTCATGGTTCAGCGCTGCAGGGCATTTACAAGACCTTGAGTCTTTCTGATCTTTGCTTTCGTTTAGTAATATGTTTTCAACTTGTTGGGTCATGTTCGGTCAGGTTAAGATTTTCGTTGATTTTTCTTCGGCTGGTTCTCAAAAAACTGGCGACTACTGGCCCAAGGTCTTCTCAAAATACATTGTTTTAAAATGTTCTAAACATCCAAGGTGAAGCTTGGCAAGGGACACGCGAGTTGCACTGCTTAGATTTGTTCAGCAGAAGTGGAGCACTCGCACGGGCTTTCAAGCTGAAAGGATTCCGAGGCCAAGCATACGATCTCTACTCTTCAGAGGATCAAGATATCCTATCACAAGAAGGCTTCATGATTGCACTCAGTGCTGCAATGGGGCTTCGTGGCTTGAAATTATGTACGCCCAGGAGGGGGAGAGTGCAGGGGGGGCACTACAAACCAATACACGGAAAAATGTAGCTTACATTTATTGCGTATGTGTTTCACATGGGCCAAACCCATCCAAACCCAATATCCAGCAGTGCCCTTTGTCAAGGCTGGTGGACTACGGGCTGCTTTGGGCAGCCGTGCCATGTTCGCTCTTTATTTCCATTTCCCAGTCCGTGCATCAGCGGTACGAATCTTGTAGCGTCACCAGTCAGTTTTCGGGTGCAGTATGTTGTCGTGAGATGTCGTGAGGTCAGACCAACAAGTTTGTTTAATATTGTTTAATGGGCGAGCCAGCTACCTAGGACTGGCGCCCTTTTGGGAACACAGGCTTGTTTTCAGTCCGCATGGCCAACATGATTGCAGAGAACACAGCAACATTGGTCAGACTTGTGTTGAAACACCGGCCTCGAACCTTTGTGACACTCGAGCAGCCAAAGGGATCCAGATTGTTCAAGCTACCGAGCGTGGCCAGTCTCATGAAGGATTGCCAGATGTTCTGTATCCTGACGTATTTGGGATTGTTTGGCATGCAGATTTTGAAGGCTACGTGGCTCTACTCAAACTGGACAAGTCTTCACGGAGTGGGGCGGCGTGCTACCAAGGTTGTGAAGGACAAGTTCACGAAAAGAACCCACGCCATGCACGAACGATTGAAAGCTCAGGGCAAGCCTGTTCCGATCTTCTATACGATTGGGGTATCCAAGAGGACAGGCAAAAAAAACTTTCACCGGTGGACCCAACCTTGGAGATACTTCAAAGTATCCAACACGTTTTTGCACAGCTGTCTTCAAGCTGTGGAATGAGGCCAATGCACTCGCAACACGCGACAACCTATAGGGGGCCCAAACGTGATAGGTTTCACAGGTCCATTGACCTTAGTCGGACAGCTTAGGTGGACTCTCACAATGACTCAGATAGCTGAAGTGTGAGGTCAAAAAATTTGATAGCCACAGAATGTACCAGAATCAGGTCCAACCAAAACTGTGCAACCTTGCTTGGCCGTAGTATTTCTCAGCTGTCCCTTCCACTTCAAGTTACTGTAATTGAAAACATTGACAAACCATGGCAGAATATGGAACGATATGAAAATATAAGAAAAATATTGAGCAATCCGACAGGAGTTTTTGCACCTTTGAAGCTGCAAAGTTTTCCAACAAACAAACAAGATTCAACCGTTCCTTCTGTTCCGGTCACCGGACCATACCGGACCATGCCGTGGAAAGTTGAGCGCAGAACGCGCGCTGGCGGGGAAAGTGCAGGTCATTTTGACTGCTTCCTGGCGGCCGTATTGTTCTTCGATGATTTTCGATGACCTTTTCTTTTGATCTTTGATGATCTTTGTCTTTCTTCTTTACTGTGTCAGAAATATTTGTCTTCTGTCTTCTCCTGTTTTCCCGGCTTCTGAGATTACTGGCATCCACCAGACGGGAAGAAAGCCTTACGTAGTCTGTCGGCGGCGAAGAAATACGCCACTGAGAAGGGGCTGGATCCTCCTCCTGGCAAGGCGATTCTGTTTGTGTTCATTTGTGTTCACTTTGTTTGCGATTTTGATTTTTTATTCCCAAGAGTGTTTTGGAGACGTATGTTCCCATGTGTCTTGGGCAGTCTGACTCCACCTACTTGGTCACTGCGGAATCCCAGAAGGCAGAACTGGAAAAGGCTGGAAATCTTTCAGTGCGATTCAATGTGGATATTGTATGTGGCATGAGCTTCTTTAAGCTCTAGAAATACAGCTTACATTTTCCATATTTGTGTCAGCACAGGGGCTTTGCTTTTTGCTTAGTCAGGCTATTTGTCAGACTCACATGTGTTGGTATGCATTCTGGCAGGAAACCTCACACAACCAGGATGTACAGCTTACATTTAATTGTAGATAGATATATATATATACAAAGGTCACGTTTTCCTTCTGGCCTTGCGCACGTGCTCTTCCTTTGTCAGGCTGCAATTGCTGACAAAGCTGGATTGCCTGGGGGTGTGCAGTCCAATCCAGTTGGGGGGCCCTGTGTTCTCAGCAGCTCGCGACGAAAATGTAAGCTGGGCTTGTTGAGGTGTTTCTATTCTGGCACCGCAGTGCTGTTTTTATTTTGTACATCGTTGATTTTTCAGGCAGTGGTCAATGATGGACCAGGGAAAATGCAGGTTGAGGCGTAGGGAGCACACTGAGAAAATGTAAGCTGTACTGCTTGGGGTGATGAAAGTGTCACGCCACACTGCTGTGATTTGTGCGTTGGAGGTGGATCAACGAGACCAAGATGCTGCAGAGGGAGCGGGTGCGACACAGGTTCAGGACACATACCTGGGGCGGAGGAGAGTGAGTGTAAATGAATAGGATATTATAGGATAATAGGATAATAGGTTAAAACATGTTAAGGCCCACTGTGCTTTAGCTTACTCTTCTGACTTCTGTGTCCACAGCTCATGCTGCACACATGGCCCCTGCTTTTGCAGGACGTGGCAAAGGATGATGTGGGGCAACTTCACAAGGAACCTTCAGTGTGGACCTTGTTTGCAGCATCTTTTTAAGCATACGCTTGCAGTTGGAGTCTACATACTGACATGCGTGTCATGGAAGAAAATGTAAGCTGGACTTGTTAAGGTGCTTCTATTCTGGCACCGCAGTGCTGTTTGTGTATGTTAGTTGCATTGAGGCAGTGCCCACAGATGCACCCAAACCAGTGCAGATTGAGGCATATCAGTGTAAAGCTTTTTCTCATAGCAGAGAGGGGGCGCAGAGAGAAAATGTAAGCTGTGCCTCTTGGGTGTTGAAAGTGTCATGCCTCAATGCTGCATCGTGTGTTGGAGGTGGGTCTACAAGACGGAGATGCTACAGAGGGAGATGCTACGATGCAGATTGAGGACTCATACCTTGAGCGGTGTGTCTGAAAAAGAAAGTTGGATAGTCTGCAACGTCGTTTCTACATGCTTCTACATGCTCGTGGCAAAGGATGAACGGGGGCAACTTCATGAGGAACCTTCAGTGTGGACCTTGTTTGCAACATCTTTTTTTTAAGCGTACTCTTGATGTGAAATGATATGATTACCCAAAAGAAAATGTAAGCTGAACTTGTTGAGGCGTCTTGATTCTGGCACCAAAGTGCTGTTTTTGTTCTTGTATGTTTTGATTTTTGAGGCTGATGGAGGAGAACGCATGGAGGTTGAGGCAATACCACAGCGGAGAGGGGGCACAGAGGAAAAATGTAAGCTGTTCAACTTGTGTGTTGAAAGTGTCATGCCACACTGCTGTGTTTTGTGCATTGGAGGTGGATGAACGAGACCAAGATGCTGCAGAGAGAGACGCTACGATGCAGACTGAGGACACATACCTGAAGCAGTGTATATGCAAAAAGAGTATTTTATATAGGTAGTATGCAATGTACAGTAGTTTCTACGTAATTCTACGTCCATGCTTTGTGCTGACACATGGCCCGTCTTTCACAGGACCTGGCAGATGAACGGGGGCAACTTCATGAGGAACCTTCAGTGTGGACCTTGTTCGCCGCTTTTTTTTAAAGCGTACTCTTGATATGAAAAGATATGAATACCATGAATGAAAATGTAAGCTGAGCTTGTTGAGGTGTCGTGATTCTGGCACCAAAGTGCTGGCTTTGTATGTTTGTATGTTCTGATTGTTGAGGCTGAGCCCAAAGA